GAAATTACACTTTCATACGTAAATTTGAATATATTTTCCTTTAAAAAAAAAAAAAAAATTCTTATCCAAAATAGTTATAATCACGAAAAATGGGCATGAAAAAGCAGATCAATCATATCCAAATTTATGCACCCTCTCCTCAGCAGTCACAAGACATACTCGGAGTCAGGTGCCGACTCGATGCAGTTTAATGTCATATACCCAGGGAAGGGCGCATATCTGTTTTGAAAGGTGGAGGGGGAGGACATTTTGTGAGTCGACACCCACCTCAGACTCACCATGGTTGGAGCTGAGGTGCGAAAATGTGAGGAAAAAGTACCTCTAGATGGCCAGAAACGGCACTTTTAGTAAAATTAATTATAATCACATCACCATTAGTCCAAATGTAGCGCCCAAAAATCTCATGGTCTTTTATCAGGGATTTTCGGCAACCATAGAGATCTTATTAATGTGTGTTATATCATAGAAAACAAAGCTTAAAAATATTGTCTTTGAGTATGTTCACAACCACCTCAGTCCCACCATGGTTTGGGCTGAGGTGAGAAAAGTTGAGGAAATAGTACCTCAAGTTCGCCGGAAATAACACTTTTGCATAGTAAAATTCATCATCCTCATATCACCATTACCTAGTCAAAATGAAACGCCAACAATTTTCTCATGTACTTTATCAGGGATCTACTTACACACACTAGAACGTACCATAAAAATATCTTCGATATTTGACCAATGGTTTAATTCCGTTAAGTTCATAGGTTTTTTCTTTTGTGCGTGTAATCCAATTACACCAATCGTGTAATATAATTACCTATATACATATAGTCTACAAGAGTATTTGGTTCATTTCTGTTTTGTTTTTTGTTAACTGATGATGGGTTGAAGGTAACCCGAAACATGTCTGCCATTAAATCTTTTGTGTTATTTTCAAAAAACGCGTTGTATTTTTTGTCAACTTACGTCCATTTGGTTCTATTATCAAGGATTTCAGTTCAAGAAGATTAGCAGTTTCTTTATTAAGGAAATATGAAAAGATTACTCTTCGTTTGAACAAAGCCGAATTGGATTTTAATTTTTTACATATATATATATATATATATATATATATATATACATTGTAATTTTTTTTCGTAGATTGTGTACTATTACACGGTACTAATCATAATTCACACAGGTTTTTAACCGTATATGTCATTTTTATTTGTTATTTCTTACTTGTTTTAATTTACATTGTTTTCTTTAAACGTCTCAATACTCACATAAGAAACTGAACTAGAAGGCTTACATCATTTTTTCTTGTTGTAATTCTATTGATTTTGTATTCGTTTTCCATTCAAATTTTAATATCTCTACTAAATACGGACCAAATAGTTATATTTCTCTTTTCTAATTAACATAAGACACATGCCTTATATACAAAAAGTAGAAATTGATATAAGTTCATTTATGTGAGCTGATTATATCTACCGACAATACGTCCAACAAATCGCTGTTATTATATTTTCCATCATCTGTATCTCAATCACATCCGCAGACAAATCGGAGACTGAGAGTTTCCATATTTTACATATCTTACAGTTTCCATATTAATATCTTGCGTAAAAGCATAAAATTAAATTGTGCAATTCTAATTATTATGTTTCATACAAACAAATATTAGACCAGTCTAATCCCAGTAAAATGAGTTCTTTTTTATACTTGGTTATGCGAGGTACGTAGAACTCCGGCGGGGTCCAGGAGGACGAACCCCCTGTGAAGTAGCGCACTCTGAACGTTTTAAGGACTGTTTTGAGAGGATAAAGTGAAAATTGCATTAGACACATCATAAATAATATTAGTAGGCCCAAAAATAATTATAATAAATCAACAGTGGCGGATCCAGGAATTCGAAAGAGAGGTGACCAAGGGAAGGACTTTCACAGACTGAGGAACCACCCATCTCAGCCCCAGCATGGTGGGGCTGAGGTAAGAAAGTTTATGATTTGAGCACCTCTAGATGGCCGGAAATTACACTTTCATACGTAAATTTGAATATATTTTACTTTTTTTTCTTTAAAAAAAAAAATTCTTATCCAAAATAGTCATAATCACGAAAAATGGGCATGAAAAACCAGATCACATCATATCCTAAAAACAAATTTATGCACCCTCTCCTCAGCAGTCACAAGACATACTCGGAGTCAGGTGCCGACTCGATGCAGTTTAATGTCATATACCCAGGGAAGGGCGCATATCTGTTTTGAAAGGTGGAGGGGGAGGACATTTTGTGAGTCGACACCCACCTCAGACTCACCATGGTTGGAGCTGAGGTGCGAAAATGTGAGGAAAAGTTGAGGAAATAGTACCTCAAGTTCGCCGGAAATAACACTTTTGCATAGTAAAATTCATCATCCTCATATCACCATTATCTAGTCAAAATGAAACGCCAACAAATTTCACATGTACTTTATCAGGGATCTACTTATGAGGTAAAAAGCATCCGTTATTTAGGACTTCAAATTGATGAAAACCTTACTTGGAATGACCATATTCGAAAATTAAATAAAACTATTGGCTACAAAATTAACATCCTAAATAAATTGGCAGAAACACTAAATCAATCTCTTCTAAATATTCTTTATAGAAGTACAATACAACCCTGTATGGACTATGCAATCTCAGTGTGGGGAACTACGTCTAACAAAAACAAAAACATTCTATTAAGGCTACAAAAACGAGCTGCTAGAATAGTTGAAAATAATTTTGATTTTATAAATTTTCGTGGAATTGATCTTATTAAGCAAAATAATTGGAAACTTTTTGATGAACGTAGAGATTACGCCCTTGCATGTTTAATGTACAAATGTATAAATGGTGTTGTGTATATGTAATGATATAGAAATGGTTGTTGACCGACATGGATATTCTACGAGATACGCTCACTCGCTTAATGTTATCCCCCCAATTCCAAATTGCTCTGTAATGAATGGCTCTTTAAAAATCTCTGGAGTAAAAGTTTGGAACAAAATCCCAATCAGAATTCAAGAATGTCAATCTCTTAATTTATTCAAAATTACTTATAAGAAACACCTTTTCTGATTTCACAATTCATTTCCTTTTATATTTTCTTGGTCTATACTTTTAACATTTATTCCCGGCCCCGAAACTTGGACTCAGAAGTACCGGAATGGTGTCCGGCGGGGGATAGTTTTTACCCTTGTTTAGTTAGGTTTGAAAGTATAATACATACTCCAAGTATTGAAATACACGCCATCGTGTTGGGATTCAATATTTCGACATTAATTATGTCATCATCAGGAATGAAAAAAATTATCCATATTAGCAAGCTTATATGCACTAGTACCAAAAGTGTT